TTTTTTATGGAAAGTCATGTTCAAAGTAAAAATTTTCCATGCACAAACCACAGTGCCAGTGAGCGCTTTACATAAATGAAGATGAGATCACAAAAGCCCTTAGGCATAAATGATTTTTTTGGTGGGTTTTTTCTTTTGTTTGCCTTTTATTTTAGATTTTTTCTGCTCTCTGGGTTCAAAACTTGAAAAGTTTCGTTGATTGACGGCTGGCTTTCTTCGTTTAACTATAATTAAGATGGAATTCGAGAAATGTGCAAGTGTGCGAATAAAAATGTGTGGAATAATTTAAGTTGATAGTTAATTTTCCACTAACACTTTTACCGAATTAAAATTTGTCTACATTTTGTTTTGCGCTCTCTCTTTCACTAAAAGGGCCCGCTCTTCTCTCTTCCGCTTTTTATATGCGCAGTTGTTTTCAACACACAGATACAAACACACACTCAATTGCGTCGATCAGCTGTTTTGATAATAAAACGGTTAAAAACCTTATGAAAACCGCAAGAGAGAAAAAAAACCTAACTAACAACAATACAGTGCACTATCCATTCGGTGAACCAATCAAAGTTAAGACGGATCATTTTAAAGTTTAATAAAATTGTCTGTGTATCTTTTGTCTGTCATTCGCCTTAAGTTTGATCTTCTACTACTATCGAATAAAAAACAATACTCGTACTATTGTTTTGAATCTAATTAATAATGAATAAACAATTTGAAAACCTTTTAAATGACAACCTATTTAGTGTTGATTTGAAAAACATAAAAGTTTATTTATAACCGAGTCATTACTGTATTATACAAACCCTGCATATCTCAATACTTTGTTTCAATCAACAAGAAAAGTCCACATGTGTTTGTTTGTTTACCATAACTTATAAATTATACAGCGTTTTGCCGCACCAGCAATTGTGAACCGCAAAGAACGCAGTTGAAAAGTTTCGAGTTTTTGAGACCCTTGGAAAAACCTTGGATTGATTGCGGGCAAATATAGACTCAAGGCAGACGAACCGCTTACACAAGAACGGCTGAGGGGAGCTCATGTAACGCGTGTGTGTTGTACAGTGAATACTTGTTGACACTGACGTCTGTCACTCATTAGATTAAATCAATTGGTAAAAGTAACTTAAAACTATATAAACAATTATCTCTAGCAAGGTGGTTATGTTAAGAAGTAAGATTACGTTTTTTACAAATAATGGCTTTATTTTTAAAAATATACACATCAAAACATAGAGTGAAAATTAAGTAATAATAATTTTGGTAGAACAAAGTTTTTTATAAAAATAGTTATTCGACTTAAAGAAGTTTGACATAATAATAATAATAGCTGCGACCGAAAGGGCCATCTTAACCAATACCCATGGTTCAACCCCTGGCACTGTCTACCTTCAGATTATTGTAGCTCTTTGTGTCTGCCGCGTGTTTTCCTTCGTGTTTTCCGGCACACAAACACAGCTGTTCTTGCATTTTGGCCCACACGTGACTGTGATTGACTCGTCAGGTGAGCGAGGAGAAAACCGATGGCGGGGGCAAGAGGAAAACTGGCGAACGAGGTGCCACTGTAATGAGCTTTCCACGGAAAAACGCAAAGTTTAAGGTTGAGAGCGTAGACAGCTGTGACATCAAAGCCAAGTGTGGCAGCCATTTTGGGAGGCGATTGTGGGAGTGATTGGAAAAAGGGTGATATATGTATATATATAGATGGCCGATGACCCAGCACTTTAATAATCTGCTTCAGATAGCAAGCAGACATTTTGAATAATAAGCCCCGTGAATAAGTGAGGCCTATCAATACAAGTTAGTTACAGTTAATTGCCTTGTGGTGATAGCGATTTACCATTTTCAGATACGAAAACACCAACTTACTAAATAAGAATGTATTACATCACTTTGTATTAAGGACTACCAAAAAAATAACATAAATAACACAAAACTAAAGTTACAACTAAATGACTTTAATGACTTGAATATTTAAATAAACAGATGATTTTAATTAAACATATTTATTAATAGTTAATATTATTTCCATAGATCTTTTACATTTAATGGAAAATATACTTTTTTCTCACTTTACCACATCAAAACTCAATACTATTTCTCAGTCATAAAGAATAAGCGTGTCATGACGCAATTAGGAATCTAAGGGGAATAGAAATATTTTACAAAAATGGAATCTACTCACAAGATCCAAGTTCCCCAACTCTGCCACCAATCCCAAAATCATGCGATGACTACATGCTGTTTATTTTCGTAAATTCGCCAAAGCAAAAACAAAATCTAAACAAAGCGTCGAAGAATTCATATGGAAAATGGTTTTTGTTTGTTTTTTTTTCTTACTTTGATTGAAGCGATAAAGTGGCGAATTGAAAGAAATGCAAATTCCATCAAAGCCATTGCACGAATATCAATCAAAACAATGTTTTTTTGTTTGCCCCTCCAGGCTTTCTACCCCTCTGTTCTCTATAGCAACCCTCGGATCAGAAGAGGGTTATTCTAAACACAAAGTAAATCAAAAATTCGGAAGTGGGAGGTATGATTTCCAGACGAGACATCCATCCACCCCCATACCCCTGAAGTTTTACCTCCCAAAACCCATCAGCTGTTGAAAATTTTGGTGGGTTCGTTGGCTTTACATCTCTCTTTTCTTTTCTCTCTCTCGAGAGAGTGGAGTGCCCCCCAAAAATGTTGTTACTTTTTAATTTTTCTTGTTTTTTGCTGGCTGGCACACGTTTGTGTTGTTGCTGTTGTCCCAGAGTCATTCAACCCGACAAACAAAATAACGTAAAACGTAAAAGAGGGGAAGGAGCGCAGTAGCAAAAACAACGGAACGGGAACGGAAAAAGTCAACGGCTGAAATGTTGGGGTCACTGAGCGTTAGCCACTCTCTCTCTCTTTCTCCCACTCTCACTGACATCCCGCCCCCTCTTCACGATTCTCTTCGAGCGAATTTTGAAAATACCTATAATGCGTATTAGAGAGTCCAGCAAAGAAATCACGCTGAAGAAGAGTTCTAACAATCAGAACTGGTTCTATAAGTCCTAAACAAAAGATTTCTGAGAAGTAAAATTAAATTTATTTGAGCTTTTAACATCATATGTGATGTTTTTTAATTTTTAGTAAGTTTATATTTAGAAATTGAAAAATTGCACAGGTAAAGTTCTTTATAGTTATCAAATAATTAGGAAGTAATTTTTCTTAACGTTTAAAGGGAGCCCCCAGAAAAAGAACCAGGATATGATTATAAAAACCCATTTTAAGAAGCGGGGCCAGCCAAGAAAATGAAGTAAACTACCGTTCTTTCTTTATCAATACAAGACCCAAAGTGATATACGACCCTGAATCGTAATGCAATAACCCCAGGGAACTGAGATAGACGTTATCAGGGGTCTCGGATTCGTTTTTGGAACGGGTTGGGTTATCTCAGGCCGCCGCATAACCACATACCGTAAATATATAAAAAAAAACCAATAAATGAAACATTGGAAGGAGTTACAAAACAGAAAGGCAAACAATGAATTTGGGTTTCGGTGACTTCGAGATAAGCCTGCTGCGGTTTTTTCTAGGTTTTTCCTTATCGGCGAAAGTTCAACCGGAGAATTGCGTGGAGGTGGAGTAGAGCGTAACATATATAACACTTATGGCTTCCATTAACAGTATGGAAAACCATAAAAAGTCTCAGACACGCAGGGGGCTTTACTTTGTCCTTCCCTTGGGTGAATGTGCTATTTGCTGACATATTTTATTGGGGAAAACCTTCTTTGATTAAGTGGTGAAATACAATAGTTAACTTGAAATCCAGTTCGGACAGTATTTCCTGTTTTTTGAATTTTGGGAAATTAAAAGGAATTTTTATTCTGAATAACTCAATAAGAATGTACTTCCTCTGCAAAAAATATCTTTTTATGATGCTTTTTTTAAATTCTTTCTTTTCATTTTTAGTTATTCAGATATCTTTTAAAGTGCTTATCTTCAACTAAACAATTTACTATATTTTAAAACGATGTGGTAAAGATTTTAATAAGATTTACAGGGTACCTTTTTTCTCGTTCCTTTACATATTTATTTCGGCCCACGATTTGCAAGTTTAAAATGTCCGCCAACGAATGGGGTGAAACGAAGGGGCGTCCGACAACCGTTAGTCCGCTTACAGGGCAACATCTTTAACCCGTCTGCCAAGATTTTGCGGATGTAATGCGCACTTGGCAGCAAAATCCCAGCAGCTAATTGCTTATGTAAGCAGTCTGCTTTTGGCTATCATTTAAACAAATCAATGCAAATATTAAATCAATATGGATGTGGAGGAGAATGCAAACTGTCAACTGTTTTAATGTGATTTCCTTTGTTGTCTCAGTTTCTTCTGCGCAAAAAAGGAATAGGAAACGAATCGAGACGAATTCAAGGATACAGCAAAGTCGACGCTAACCGATTCTTTGTCTGCTCTCTCTCGCACACACACTCGAGCACAGCTGATTAAGAGAGCGGAGGAGTAGGGGAAAGTAGGGGAAGGAAAAGCGACAAATAAATATTGAAGCGAAGGCAGTGGAACGTGAATTGAAATCATTTACTTTGACCATAAAGAGAATCAACGACGAACGCACACACACATGAGAACACACAAGTAAATGCACTAACAAAAAACAAAAAAAGGAAAGCTTTTTCTAAACAAATTAAAAGTTCAAAATAAATTCGATCTGAAATTGTTTAATCATATTTATTATTTTTATTTAAGTATAATTTTCTTGATTTAAGATCCCTTTTTTTCAGCAGTGCACGAAAGTATATAAGGTATTGCTTTGACTGCTTTGTTTACACAAGACCCCGCATTTCCAGTTTCAAGCTACGCTTCAAAACGCAATCTTCTAACGAAAGACTCCATATAACTGGCGAAACACTGTAGACCCCGCATAAAGTTCAAAGCAATTAAGCGCAATCTGCGTACTTTATTTTATTAACCAAAAGCAAAAAGAGATACGCGGAGAATGCAATAAAAATGGCCGACTTACCTTCTTTCGCTTTGCAGCAGAAGATCCCGAGAAAAGGCACAATTTTTCGCTCAGTGAAGCCGGGATTTATGGCTTTGCTAATTTGTTGCCTCAATTCTATTTTGCGACATTGTTGCAGTTTCTAATTTTTTGGCTGCAAATATTATTGATTTCACTTGCACACACAAACACAAACTCGAAGCTCTCACACACACGCACTCAGCTGTGCTGCTTCTTATTTCTCCTGGATTTTGCGTCTATATCATTGATTTATTTTCGATTTTTTCAAAGACTGCATTTCGTGGCACTTGATTAACATATATATATATTTTTATATAACCCTCGTTTTGCCACTTTTCTTTGCCTTTACACACTCTTATTCGCCTTTAATAAACTCTTTTTTGATGGGGAAAAAACGGTTCTGTTTCGCTATTTTCGCCTGCACTGCACCCACCGCTCTCCTCTCTCTCTACACCGCTCTTTATCCTTGATTGCTCTTTCTATTTAGCGAAATTGATCGTTCTCAACTTTGTCGCCATTGCAGCTCCACGGGCGAAAAGAAAATCGGTGGAAATGCCAGCACAGGTGCACAGGTGACGATAAGCTGGAAATTCCGGAAAAGCCGCGCCTACACTTTCATTGCCAGCATCGCGTTGCCCTTTCACTGTCGAGATTCGCATAATTTCCACTTTTTCGTTCGCACACAACGGCCAGCTAAAATTATTGTTTATTTTTTTCCCAACAAAACAACTGTGATTCTGAGAGAGACCAGACCAGCTGTGGGTGGTTCAGTGTGGACGTTCCGCGCAGCTGTGAAAATCCAAATGTGCTGCCTTGTTAAAGCTGAATGACACGGAAGTTGTTTAAAAACAAACCGTTATTTTGGGTGGGAATTCAATTACTACAAATGTTGGAACGCTACTAAGATCGCTGTTTTAAATTAAGAGTAAAAATTAAATGCATTATTTAATGCAAAAAGTTTTCCTTATATTCTTTTTCAGTAAAATTTGTATCATACTTAAAACCCTAATTTTGTGGATGGACTGCTATGCTTACCTTAATTAACGATATTATTGCCAAGCATCAACAAAAGCGATTTTGCCTTTAAATCTTTTTCTATAACATTATACAAAATCAATATTTGAAAACTCTATAATAGAGAACTTAACAGAAAGAAAAACACGTTATAAATTTGATATTTAAAATATTGTTTATGTTAAACGTTTCTCAGTTTAAAATGTCATATTTTCCGTTTTGCCATATTAATTTTTGTTAATTTTCGAGTGTTTTCATTTTTTGTTATTACTTTTTGTTTGCAAAACTACACACGTACATATGATGTAAATATATTAGTCTGCATTGTAAAGCCTTTATGTAATACATATATATAGAGGTGTATATAATATTTAATTCTCCTTTTAAATGTAAATTTTATTGAACCAAAAGTTATTTTTTTTGTATGGTACGGAACTCGATTGCGCTTTACGGCAATTTTCCATATATATATTTTCGGTTTTTTTGTTCAACTCTATCTCTAATTAATACATATCAGTTGTGATTTTTTAGTTGATTTCTTGTTTAAACTGTTTTAAAACAAAGTCCGAAACACACTACAAGAGACAGACAGAAAGATCCGTTAAAATACGCAACTTACAACTCTTGTTTTATCTTTATCTTTATCTTTTTGTTTTTGTATTTTTTTGTGTAAATATGATTTTGACTTCTTTTTGGTTTTTCTTTCTAGGAAAATATATGGTAGGTGTAGGTATATGTTTGTATGACACCATTTGCTTAGCTTAACTTTAAAGAGAGAATACAATGAATCAGGAAAATATCTCATCTGGTATCGTTTTGCGTTTATTGTGCTTTATCTCTGTGTCGAGGGGTTAAGTGTGGGGATAATGGGTTAATCCTATTCCCCAGCTCACAACTGCTCAATCTCTCGAGGATTGGATATAGTTCTGCTAGATAGGGAAACCTTTCAGTTGTGGAAATAATATATTATCTACTTAGTTGTGGTGGCTCAAGTTGTGAGCTTATAGCGAGGGCTAACGATTACTTTCCTGCCCCATTTATACATTTTTCAGTGGATAATACATTACAAAATATACTGTTCAAGTATCTGTGTGAGTCCAGACGGTGTATATAGATTTATTGAATTATTTATGTGGGTACTGTTTTGTGTTTCAGGGAAGATGATCCAGTGTGTGTCGTTTGTTCGTTGTGTAATATACATGGCTATACAAAGATATAATGCTAATTGCTGAACAGTTTTAGCTGGCACTAGACTTGAGTGTGGATAATCAAAAGTGAAATTAATCGTACCTCAGATAGTGAGTGTAAATGTGTGTTTGTGTGTGTTTTTGAACCCTTTGTGGTTCTATCGACATGTTTCGGAATTTAGAAAAACTCCAGTGGTTTTGTTTTTTTTTCGGGGGACCAGTGAGAGATAAAATCAGAGCGTGCTCCAGATGGATTTATAATTTAGTCATAATTTAGCAAACATTTAATACAGGCATGCGTGTATGGGAGTTAAAACTAATCGCGCATAATTGCAGTTTCTAGCCTAAACACACATAACATTCAGCGGAACCACCTGAAGCTGCCGCGGATCGGGCTGCACATCTACATAAATATATATATATATATATACAGGTTTGTATAAGCTAGCAATTCTTCGGGCTGCAGTTAATAACAAACATAGAGCATGGGGAAGGCTAATACAGATACAGATTACACAAATGAGGGTCTAGTTAACGTAGCATATTAAATAAAATAATCACAATTTGATGCTGGTTTCTGCGAGTTTTTGAAACTCGCTCAAAACTAAAACTAGGGTTAGGTTTCGGTTTCGGTTTCGTTTAAGCCGCTGCTGCAGGCGGCTGTTGCTGCTGCTTGCGGCTGTTGCTGCTAATCCGGATCTTGATCTGTATATGTAACTGCATCTGGCGGCTATGTGGTCATCGCTGCGTCAAGCAGGCCCAGCAAGTACATGCAGATCATCGAGACGAGGGTCAGGCTGAACACCATGGCGAACATGACGATGCACACGGGCCATCAGTCCGTGGCCGTCTTGCGCATTATCTTCCTGGCGAAGCCGATGGCCGTATCTCAGAGAATCTCACAGCAGCGGCAATAACGTGGTCGATGTCCGCTGGTCACAGCCGGCGGCGTTCCGGGTGCAAAGTAGGCATGCACCTTGATATTTGGTAGATGGTTCTGTACGCCACATAATTATTAGATAAATTTGTACTAATTAAAGCATATACAATCCCACCTTCAGCTTGCGTATGGCGGTGCGGGTGATAAGCTGACAGTCGAATAGCTCAATGCGCTGCAGATTGTGGCAGGACACCAAATGCTCTAGCGTTCGGTCCGTAATCAGGGGGCAATTGTCCAGCTCCAGTACGGACAGAATTTCCGCAGCACAGCTGCCAGTGGTGAGATGTCGTATGCCATCATCTGTGATCAGCTCACAATGCGAAAGGGTCTATTGCAAAGTATATAAATTAAATCATCTGCAGATAGGATGTTAAGGCAAGTTGATAAAGCCTACCAATTTCTCTAAGCTAGGACAACCAGTGGCCAGATGGGCCAGCGTGAGGTCCGTAATCTGGCTGCACTCCTCCAAATCCATTCGCTCCAGATACTTGCAGTTCCGCCCCAGCGCCTGGAAGCCGATGTCGGTGAAATTGCGACAGCCGGACACCTCCAGGGTGTTCAGTAGATGATTGTGCTGCGAGAGCGACAACAGCGTGAGATCGGTGAGGTCTGCGCACTTGGACACGCACAGCTTTTGGAGCTTGTGGCAATTGGCGGCCAGTTGGCGGATCGATGAATCGCTGATGGTCTACATTAATTGTAATTAGAAATAATTTCCCAATTAATTGAATATTATATTATACTCACCTCACAGCTGTGTAGATTTAGCACCATTAAATCGGGACAGTATTTGGCCAGGCACATTATGGCATTGTCGTTTATCTGTTTACAACCTTTACTGCTGAACTTGCGCAGTTTGACGCAGCCGCGGGCCAGCGCCTCCACGCCATTCTCGGAGATCAGGTGGCACCAGGACACGTTGATCTCCATGAGGTTCTGCGGGAACAACCCGATAAAGTATGCTTATTTCGTATGGGTTATTCAAGTAAACCTACTGGACAGCCATCGGATAGATACTTCAAGCTGTTGTCTGTTATGTTGGAGCACGAGTCCAAATTAATGGCCGTTAATTTGGAGCAATACCTGCTGATGGACTGTGTGGATATGTCGGTTATCTTCTTGCATTCCGACAGATCCAAGTGTTCAATATTGTGGCAGTGATTCGCTAGAGTTCTAAAAATATAAAATATTCATTTTATTTCTTGCTTTGGAGTGGTTCTCATTTATGGATACTCACCTCACGGACTGATCTCCCACCGATTGGCAGCCACGAAGCGATAGTGATTTGAGGAAACCGCGACATCGCTGCGATATATTCTCAATCACCGGACCCTGTTTAAAAGAAATAAATATTTAATTAGTAATTAGCTATATATAATTAATAATAATACAATGCTATTCTTATTATCTGTTAACTATTTATAAATAAATGTTACTTTTTGTTTAGTTTTACTATTTATATTGCTTAACATTGGTTTTGATTACTTTATTAATTATGGAACAATATAAAAATGTCTGTTAATCACATAATTTTAAGTATTTCAATAAGTTGTTCAAAGTTGTATGAATATTTTAAAGTTTAGATGTGTTTTTATGAATTTTCTATGATATATGATTTTCAATGAATTAATTTTTCAGTTAAATATTGTACTTGTGTTTAAGCTAATATAACATATTTGAATTAAATATAGATATATGCCTCTAATAAAATTGTAATTTATAGAAAACATAGCACCCTGCAGATCTAACTTTTTAAGATAAAATTAAAATTCTGAAAACTGCTTGCTCGTGGCTTTCGTTATCATCTATTAGATGCCCCAAAGCTCACCTCGATATCACGTTGAAAGTCGAATAGATTGATTTTCTGCCAGCTGGATCCATCGAGGGCCAGCACGTTCCAATATTTGCATACCTGTAGTAGCATGAAAAATTCATTAGTGGGAAAGACTGGGAAACTGCCAGTTCATTTACCTGTGCACAGCGGCATAGTGAGACAACATCCAGGTAGGAGAAGACGCGCAGCAGTACCTCCTTTGGCAGTTGTTTGATTAACTCATCGTCCAGTTCGGTGGCGCCTAGGAATGTTTGCTGAAACGGACACAACATGGCGGATGAGTGATACAATTGAAAGTGAACTCATTTCTATGGTCTGTGAAGTTTCCAAATTGGAGATGTGGGGATGGCTAAACAAAATCAACTGACTGACTGATTTCTCAAGTGGTCCCAAAATAAAAAAAAAAACATTAATGAAAACCAATAGATTCAATTGAATTCCGGAACAAAACAAATTAATTAATGGAGGAATCGCAAGACGAGAGAGAGAGAGATAGAGGTAAAGCGAAAAAGAGACAGAGCGATTTGAGGAGGGTTTTAAGAGGATTTCTTGAGCGCTATATGTACAAAATGCTGGATCAAGATGATATAACGACCGCTGAGGTGGGTAAAAATGTCATCGAAGGTGGGTAACAATGGGTAATTTTTTGTATGTTTTTGTTCATCTTCCTTTATACATTTTTTGTTTTTGTTTTTGTTTCTTTTTCTTATTGATTTCTTACGGATTGATCCTCCTGCTGATCTTGAGTGCTGTTGATCCTTTGCTGATCAGCTAGGCAAACCTCTGGCGTTATCGAAGAACTCAATGAGCAACTATCGCTGCTGCTTTCCATACTTTTGGGGTTAATGTGTACACCAGGTAATGGATTGATAACAGGCGTTGCACTGCCAAATGTGGCAGAGCGCCAAATGGTGCTGCAAAAGCCGCTGATAATGTTGCTGCTGCTGTGATTATTGTTGCTGTTGCTGATGGGAGGGCTAATGTTGTTGCTGGAGTTGCTGCTGCTGTTGCTGCTGTTGTTGCTGCTGGCATTACCGTTCAGTTGTAAGCTCGGATTGTGATTGTTGTGGCCGTTGTTGCTGTTGTTGTTGTTGTTGTTATTACTGTGATCTGTGGCACTACTGATGGCGGTACTATGGGTTTGGCTGCTGGTGCCGCTGTTGCTGCTGAAGCTGGCGCTGATGCTGCTGCTGCCGCTGGGCGGGCACAACAACTCGATGCTGCCGCTGGCATTGCCACCGCCGCTGCTGCTGCCTCCGCTGCCGGCGTTGCTCGTACCGTCGCCGCTGCCGACGTCGACGACGCCTTTCTCCGCGGCGCTGGCAAACATTCTCGGTCTCGGTTCTTATCTGCTGCTGCCTGTCTGTTCTCCTCTGCCGATTCAATTAACCCTTCAGCACTCTCTTTTTCGTTTCTTATTTGTTGTCAGCTGGTCGGCGCCGTGTGAACGCTCGATTAAATTATTCACAATTTGCGTCTTTAATACGTTGCTCCCTGATCAGTTGGGAATCGTTTGCTTATTTTTGGCCCAGCTCGTTTTCAATTTTTATTATTTTGAAATCATATACTGCAGCAGCAGGAACTGGTTAAACGCTGTTTCTTTTTTTGCACGTGGAAAATAGAACAACAGCGGAATTTAATACAAGACAAAATAATACAAAAAAAAACAGAAGCAGAGAGTTTCGGACATCAAGGTTGCGGGCGTGCTTTAATTGAAATGCGCACCCAACTTTAAGCTCTTTGGGGGCTACTTCCCCTTCCCCACATCCACCACCCACTGTCGTGGCATTCAACTTAAATGAAAAGTCATCAACGGCAATTTAAAAAAGGCAATCGATCGAACGTGTGACGAATTTGAGTGAAGCGTGAACAAGAAATAAGTGTGTATAAATAACACAAGATTGAATTGATAACTGAAATATATACCTTTAAATACATGCAAGGTACATTGCATATTCTAGCAGTTTAGTACCAAGCTATAAGGCAAAATTTTAAAACACTTTCAAAACTCCGAACTTATTTTAAAATAACAAATTTGTATTTAAAAAAACTTTAAATTAATATAAAAATAAAATAATTTTTGTATTACTGAACTCAATGCTTAAACATTCATTTCAGTTAAAGTATTTTTATTCTTTAAAATTTTTGTGTTATATTGATTATGTTTTTAAAACGTTTGCGTCAAAATTAACCATTATTCAACCGTTACCGCTTCAGTAGTTTTAATTAAGTATATTTAAATTTAAAAAATTCCGCCACGAAGCTAACAAAAACTTGAAATTCCACAGAGCAGGGTATAGACATATTTAACTTAACAATACAAATTCTTTTCTTTGTCAAAAGGTACTGTAAATGGCACAACAATTACAGAAGCTCTATGAACACAATACATGTCAGTTATAAAATTGCTGTTTTCACAATTGTATAGAGGCATTCATATGTATGAGATTCAAATAAAGCGATTGAAGGTCCAATAAATTATTGATTGCAACAGATCTTTAACTAGAATAGGAGTTGAAATAAATATATAGTAATATTCATATGTTCATATTCAATTAGTCCATCAAAGGATGACAAACTATTATCAATTTATGACAAAAACACTTAAAGTGGCCTGAATTCAATCAGGGCGAACAATTGGATCACACATATGCATACGACAGTGGAGGTTAACAATATAGTTGAAAGCGCATACTTTTGCGAAAATATATTTTTAAAGTAGTTTTTATTAAACGTTTTTTTTTAATATTTTTTTAAGGGAAAATAACCAGAAACAAGCTAATAGCTGAAGAGAAAAGAGCTTGTTGATTTAAAGAAAAAAGGTTTTTAAATTATTCAACCAATTTTTTCAAAGTTTTAAATACAATAAATAATCAAAAATAAAACAATGTACAAATTCTTTAAATAGTATTTTGAATTTTTCTCAAAAAATGTTGCTTTAAGCCATTTACAAGCCACCAACTACTATTATTTTGACCGCTGCTTTATATCGCAAGGCGCTATATCTTTCGCACGTACTTATGCAAATTCAAGTGCAGCTGAGACCCCAAATAGTTTCAACTCAATTCGCTTTAAGTGATGGAAGCGACAAGTGCAAGGCATTTCACTTGATTGCTGCGTTTTGCATAGTTTATTATTTATTTGATCATGCAACACATGGCGTATACGTAACTTAAACTAAAACAGCTGACAAAAAGTAAGAGCAAAACAGGGTGGAAAAGTGGGCGGTTGGTGCGTGTGGAAAAAGTAAACAAATTAAAAATTCCCAGTCGGGCATTTACTTTCCAAGTGACCTCGAGCGCAAAAAAAAAGAGGAATAAATGCATATACAATACATGTATCGCATATGTATGCATATACCAACCAGCCCACATGACAACAAATCTGGGCTGCATTTTATATAAGCCATGGCCGGGTCAGCTGGCCCACAAAAACAGTTGAAAGTTGATAGCACTGACAGACGACAAGCATGCTTCCGTTCTATATAGTTTTGGTATACTATATACTAGCAAGCTATATACTCATATGCATGTCAGCAAGGTCAGCGAATAGGGAAAACTGGGTCAGCATCCAAATTGGGTTGCACTCAATGCTTTTTTTATTGTCGATAAATATAGAAATTCATAAGGGGTAAGCATAAAACAGCATTTATAACACAGGTGGAATGTTAAAAAAAAACCTTTCAAAAATCGCAAAGCAGGCAAACAATATACACACAAAATCAAAAAAAAAAAAAAACGAACAGCTGATGACACACCAGTAAGGAAAAACAGGCGGAAAAGCCCATAACAACTGCAATTAAAGAGCTGGAAAAGCAATCAGCACTGCACAAAACACACTTTTTTATGGCACATTTAGATATAGTTCGCCCTACCATTTGTTTATATTTTCAGTTGGACTGGCGTGAAATGGATTTTTCTTTCACTTTTCCCTCAGCTGCGAGGAAAAATCGTGTAAATGCAGAAACGCGAGACACGAAAAACGCAGGAGAGCTGCAATTTTCACGAGACAACATCGATGACAACAGAGCGCAGAATGAGAACTAAGTGGAGAATCGAGAACTCAACGCTGCCAGAGCTCGAAAAACAGCTGGCCCACAACAGCACTCTCTCTCTCACTTTATTTCTCTCGGGAAAATGCATTTGGGGGAGGCGGGACATTGCACCCACACAAAGGTCGAGCAACCAAAAGCTGGCTGAAAAAGTCTCAATGAGAGCGAGTCTTAAAGCGAAAGAGAGAGTCCAAAAGGGGACTAATCGTCCATAGACAACTAAAAAACTTCATATACCCTTGCTACTACTACTTGAACTCTAAGGCAGGGTCAATCAGGAAATTAACACAAGGTCTACGTTTGCAGTTTGAAGTATATGTTTAAATCGAAAAAAAGCCAAAGGTCTTTCAAAGTTTTTGCTTTTTCAAAAAGTTAATATTAATAAAAAGTCTTTCTATTTGAAAAAGAAGAGTTGTTCATTGCATTAAACTAATAAATTTAATATGCCTTTGTAATTTAATAATTTAGTTTTTTTTAGGTTTAGGTTTTAATGGTTTTAAAAAGAATATTGCTGATATTTTGATATATTACCCAGCACACCGAAAGGGCTTTAGACTTAAGTATTAAAAAGACAATTTTCTTAAGGAGAAAATGAATTAGTTTTTCGAATATTTACATAACATGGCAAAAAAGAGTATACATTGTAAAACAGGGTATCGATATCCCCAATAATAACTGTAAATACGAGAAGACCACCTCTCTCATACTCTCCCATATCCGTATGCCTCCCACACTCTCTTTTTCACTTGGTAAATCTGCAAGGGTTGCAATGCTGCCAGACTTTTTGGTAGTGCCGTCAGCTGTTTATCGGGCAATCTGTTTACTTTCGTTTGTTATTGGCTTTTGCTTTGGGTTCTAGATAAGTTAAGTACTCCAAATACCAAATACCAAGAATGGACAGTCAGTAAGCCCCAAAATAAATAAGCAATTCGGTGCGATTAAAGCATAGGAGAACGCAATTAAAATGAGTCTTCCTCTTTTTCCATTCCCAGTAATTAACGCAAGTCCACGGAAAGAAATCTTTATCAATTCATTTACAGACTGATATGTGGATCAATACTTAATACATATAAAATTCTGCATAAATATTTAAGCGCCATTTAACAAAAATTTGATCATAATATTAGATAATTTATGACCTGATCTATTATAATAGTTAGAATTAAGATGGTAATAAAAATAATGACAAACCTCAAAATTTTAAAAAGTTAAATCCCAAATGATTATATTACTATAACAAAATCTCTGACAGTGTCCAAGAAATTGGTAAATTCCGCTCATGAGCTTCTTTTCTGTTTGCTTATTTACTTTACATTGTGTGCACATTGCACTTGGTGAAGAATTTCCAATTTGTCAGAAGTCCTCACTTCGCAACTGGTCATTGGTTAATGCTTGGGGGTGTGTTGACAGCGAGTTTATTGCACTTTTGTCGCAAGACAAACATATAATTTTTTGAGGGAGGGTGTGAGACATTAGCCACTTACACTTTTACAAGCTGGGCGAATTCCTGTCGCTCCGACAAAGGCGATGACTCCTGTTTGTATTCCGTATTCCTGACTTCAAAGGCAAAGAACTCGCTTTGCCATAAAAATAAACGAGATGCAGTCTATTTTAGTGGGATGGGTTTACGGGAGCTGGGGCAAGTGGAAGTGGCTGACTAACTGTCTGGATCGGCAAACAAACAAAAGAGCAACAGCACGTCTTGAGCTTGAAAAACAAACGAGGGAAGAAAATACCCCAGGCAAGCACAAGCAAAACCCAAATATATTCTTGCGCTCCCATGCTTTTCAAAATCCATCATTATACAAATATAGCGCTGTTCCTGATAAAATAATGTTATTTAAAAAAAAAAACGATTTCTTGGTGAGCCATCAGCTATTTATCTAACAATCTGATTACTTTGCTTTGTTATTATCTATCGCTAGGAGGCACTGATAATTTAATCACTTTAAAAACCAATAAAAAAAATTAAAACAAATAACCTAATCGAATGTCATTGACTCGACCTAACATTTTTTTTATACATAAACAATATATTTTCCATTTGTAGAAGCAAGGATTTAATGGAAAATAGAGAATATTGGTAAACTTCAAGGGGGCTCCATTAAACTTAATTTCTGATTAATTATCTATCTCTCGAAAACCTCTTGAGATTTTAGAGTTCGAGGGAAGGTCAACAAGCTTTATTCTATCATTTCCTTTATACTTGTGAACAATCTTTAATTAAAAAATTCGATTTAGTACAAGTTTTAATAATTGCAACCCATGATGTTTTAGAACCACTTTCCCAAAATTGTTTTTGAAATATTTCAGTCATACGATTCGCAAGAATTTTGCGTGGATAAATCTTTTTTAAAGCATTTTTGACATTTTTAGAAACATTTCAAAATTTTTAAATACTGCAATAAAAACCTACCGGATTGCTTAACAGCGACCAAAATATGTAACAAGGTATTAAAATATTTGAAGAAGACAAAGAATGCTTATAAAGTTTTGTAGATACTTTCTGTCCCTTCAACAATTTTTTTTAAACCTCTCAAAATGTTATGATCACATCGTTAATCTCTTACTTACATCGTAACGATGATGATTGCGTCCCGAATTGGTCATTTTACGCGTGGATATATCTAGAGATCCAGATCCAGATCCAAATCCAGAAATGCAGTTTTTCCTTTCCCTTTCGGTTATTTCTTGGTTCTCCCTCTCCCACGCTCTTTTGGTATTCTTTGTTGCCCCCGCTCTCTTTGTGTGTGCGTAGGTGTTTGTGTGTATGAGAGCAGGAAATTATGCGTCGTCTGCTGCGATTGTTGTTCTTCTTCCTCTTACTCCTTCTTTCTCTGTCCACCGTTTGTTTCTGTTGTTGTTTTTGCTGCTGCTGGTAGTTCTTTGTTCTGATTGCGTTGTAATTGTTGAATGCACTTATGTAGTTGTTGTTATTGCGGAGAGAATATAATGATATCGGTGTTTTGCTGGTATTGGTGTTTTGCCTACATCACAAGAGATCTCTGTGTTAACTGCAAAAAAATGCAGCTATCCCGATATTGGCATTATAAAAACAAAAAACGGCAAAACAACAACTCGCTTCGTAATGCGTAAATACGTTTTTCCCGTTCTTGCATCTTTTTCGCCGTGCCCTTTTGTGCAGATATTCGCTTGCCCGCTCGTAGCGCTTTTCTAGTTTCGCCTGATTTTTTCCCGTTTTTATGTAATTGCGATTTTTGCTGCAAAATTTGTAATTGCAATATTGCACTGCCGATGAAAAGAGAGAGCACAAAAACACAAAAAAATTGTGTGACCGTAATGCGCAAGCAAAAAAATCGAATAGAGGTTGGCGCAATCAGCCGTTAGTGTGCCCGAATTCATATACAGGGATGGAGAATCTTGAAAAATGTTTACCCAGTTAGAAGAAGTTATTTGCAAATCGAAATTAACCTTTATTATATTTTAACTACGTGTTTAAGAACTTTTTGTTTTTATATTGAAAGAGTTTGAAAATTTTTAATAAAATATTTATTAAACTTGCTCTTCAACTATTTCCAATAATCTGGCATCTCTATCAGCTGTCTGATTTTATAATTTTGCACGCCGCTTATTTCGTGTTTTTCCGGTAAATTTCTTTAAATCTACCAAAAACAAGGACTGAAGACAAGATGTGGCCCATTGTAATGGCTCTCCTAAAGCGTAACGCTGTGTATATCACATTACCAATTGCCGGCGTGGTTGGTTTCATTGGTTATAATCTGGAGAGTTGGCTATCTGATAAATATACCCCATACAGTCGTGAGTTTTGTTTGGCATAAACCGAACTTTCTAGTTAAAAGATATGTAAATTTATAATACCCCTACAGCATCCATTCAAGAGTTACGCGCCCAACGTTTGACAGAAGAAAGTTTAAACTCAAATGCCGCCAATGTGGAGAAATTACGACTCAGTAGTCCTGTGCTCGAACGCAATCTTTCCCCCTCGCTGCAGCCCAAATCCTAGAGTTAAACATGACCATGAGAAGTTATCTATAATAAAGTGTTGTTATCAATAAAACAAAAAAAGATACGCCAAAAAATTTACTTGAACTCTTTAGTTTCATCCCTTGCGGGGATCGAACCCGCGACCTTTGGATTAGAAGTCCAACGCGCTATCCTCTGCGCCAAAGGGACAGGTGGAGGACGGCTTTCCAATGACTCATACAAGACAAGTGGAGTTTTTACAGCTGCAAAACGGATAAAACAGTTCTCGAGCGACTTTAATTATTTAATAATTAGATTTAATAACAATGACAATCCATCTGTTCATTATTTTAGCATTTAGAACAAATTGTGTTCTTAATGTAGAACATATGGGGGTTGAAGTACTCTTTAGCCGTATTTCAATCATAGCCTCGGTGGCGCAGTTGGCAGCGCGTAAGTCTCATAATCTTAAGGTCGTGAGTTCGAGCCTCACCCGGGGCATGTAACTTTTTTTTTCTTTTTTTTTATTATTTTTTTTGTTTTGTTTCTTTTTTGGATTAAAGCCATTTATTTATCCTTTAAAACGTTTAAAGCCAAGCAACTAAAAATCATAAAATGCATTAATTTTTTTATTTATTATTTTATTTAATTACAGCATAAAGTAAATTCAGGAGGTTAGACTTATTTCCCCATGCGCTGGATGGACCACTCCTGCTGGCACAAGGGACAGCGGTTGTTCTGTTTGACCCACAGCGACATGCAACAGTGGTGGAACGAGTGGTTGCACTCGCCCCAAACCACCACACAATCCTGGCGACCCATCACATCCCGCTTGTTGTCGGCCTGGCAGCGAAGGCAGGAATCTGGAAAAAATAACGAGGGCAATTATAATTAAAAATATTATAATTATATTATTAATAATTAGAAATTAAAGAAAAAGGATATAAGGTAGAAATTCAAAAAGTCAAACCAAGAAATTGTATATGAAATGAATTTAATTTACACAAATTTAAATGAATTAAATAGTAGATTATACTTTAATTGCAAAGCAACAAACAAAATTCAAATATCTGAAAAATATATAAATATTGTACAAACTATTTTAAAAACTATACATAGAGTTTAGCTTTATAAACATACAAATGTTTTAAATGTCTTCAAATCTTTAAAATTGTTTAGTTAAAAACAAAAGGTTTGGATATATATCTTATATTTTGAAATTATTACTAATTTTATCAAAATCTTTTTTTGATTGTTGCATCATCAGGTGACAGCTCATATTTTCATTCGCGCTAGGTATTATGCAAATCGCTTTAATTGAATCAACGTGGAGAGGTGAAAGGGTCAAGTGACTTGGAAGACACTTTAAAAATAGAACTGTACAGAGAAAAGTGCAAAAAGTGATCCCACAAGTGCTCTTGACAAAACGCGTCACTGGCGACTTTGAGCCACAATTAGCTGAAATTGCAACGGTTTCAAATCTCTGTGCCCGTGACGCAAGTGAATCTTTGACACCAACAGCATTTCCTGTGAATTGATTATGGCCAAAAGCTATTGACAATGTCCTCCGATTGCAGTTATTCGATATGAATTTTTTTTTTACCAGCGGAAATGCCTTCATTCAGAAAATATTCACACCAAAATCGGCAAAAATGTTCATTCAACAAAAGGTGGACATATAAAAAATAAGTGCAAAGTAAATCACAATTTAGCGAAGCCTTTCCCCCCGCATTTGATTTCAGTTATTTCGGTTGTTGTTCGTGGGAGAGGTCACTGTACTGGGCGGCCCGAATTGGGAACGCATCGGTTTTCACTGGCGATAAAACAATTTTCTCAGAACCACCGCCGAAATTCGACAAGTCAATGCAAAAATGGTTCAATCAGTGGCTCATTATATGTACAGAGCGGAAAACGAAGTGTTTTCTACAGGATTTGATATTTAAATAAGATGAAATATAAAAATAATTGAATTTTAATGTGGTAACTTTCTTGATAATAGTCAGACTTGAAAAATATTTCGTGTGTAATTTTTATTTTTATTTTAGGTGCTCAAATCTAATAACTTATATATCTTAAAAGCTATTAGCTTGATTGTTTAAAAATGGATATTTAAAAAATCATAAAATGCCTAATGTTGTCAAGATTGAAGCTGATAAATAAATATATTAGTCTTAAATCAGACTCAAAATTACTAAATTTCTTAAAGTGTAGCGGGCATCACCTGAGCCGCTTGGGATACCTGGTGCAGGTGTTAGTGTTGACATTTCGAAATATGAGCGCGTCGGCAGAAATTTACAATACACCTTCGAAAATGACAATCAACAGAACAAGCAGGTAAGGTAAATGCGTCGTCACCGGACGGCTTGTAAGGCATCACGTATACGCCGCTTTGGCTGCCGTTGCATCGGCGAATTCTGCTGACCGGTGGAAAAGTAAAAACAGCGATAAATATAGTTACCAAATAAAAAAAAATATATATAAAAGAACAAGCGAATCGTACACCCCGCGTGAGTCAAGAAAATATGTTTTTTTTTTGGTGTGAAAATCGCCTTACAATTTCCCCTGGATTTAGCACTTTTGGGTAAGCGAAACACGATCATGACAACAGGAAATTGTTAACATACTTCCAAGAATTTCATGATTTTGTGTAATTGAAGTAGAAGTCAATAGCCATGGGTCACGAACTATAGCTCTAATCGAGGGCTTAAATGCGTTCTATTTGCAAAAACTGCATGATTGTTCTTTTCCTGGGTCTTTGAACTAGTTAGGGGTTAAATTAAGTAGAAAGAAATGGCGTTGATTATGGTAAATGTTTTTTTAATTGCCGTTAAATTTGTTGCGAATTATTGTTTTATCTATTTACCGATTTTGTGTTAATGCTAATGTTGTTTTTGATAATTAAGAATCGCTGGGTTGCCTTAAAAAATAAACCACATTGTTTTGTTCATTCAATATGCTTTCAAATACACTTCGATGTTTCATTTTCTTGGCCGTTTTACTGCAGATTTCAATGGTAATATATGTGGATCTATGGCCATTTGCTAAATCTTTTGTTTCTTGTAGGGCACTCGTCTTTTGAAATTCACCAATGTCAAGTGCATGGATTTACCCACTTCTCGAGGTTTTTCGAAATACGAATACTGTCGTTTAAAAGTGGTGCGCAGAAATGAGGTGGAACTTTCTCTGAAGGTCAGCTTGTTGCAGCTTCCCATCCGTAATTTGACCGCAAGACTACAATGCTTTCAAAGGCGGGATGGCTATCGTCCCTTTATGTACAATGTGCTCTTTGATTTTTGCAAGCTGATGTCCAGTGGGAGTAATGAATTTTCTTTTGAACGTTTAATTTTCGGTGCTGTTCGAATGCATAGTAATCTTAATCATTCTTGTCCTTGGAAAGAGGTGAGCTAAAAATAAAAGTTAAACATATTTATCCAGCTACAGTAATCTCTGTCAACTGGATTTCGAATTACAGAAATTACAGAATTTACAAGTGCAAAGAATATATTTTGGTAACATTTCCAATATTCGTTTAGGCTTATATTGATTGCCTTTATCGAAAATAGTTCTATATCTGAAATCAAATAATTTTATGGAACTAATTTTATAGTAAGTTTCACAAATCCTTTAAATTTGTTGAATTTATTTATATGAAATTGCACGTTTTTAATGATATTTTTAAGTAAACAAAATTACTAGATTAGTTTTTGACCCCCTGCTCTATTTTTCCAGAACCACATGACGGTGGAGAAGTTTGCCCTGGATTTAAACAAGATCAATATGCCAGTACCTGCTGGAACCTACCGCTTGGATTTCACCTTTTACGCCTACGGCATCGCTCGCACATTGACACAGGTGTTTTTCGAGAAAATCGAGTGAAACTCGGGCGTCACAAAAATGTTCTTAGTTTTATTTTTCTAAGCACCTTAAACTGCGTAAGTTAAAACTCCAAAAAAAAAAAAAAATGTCAATAGATTGGCATCGCTATTTTCAATTTATATACACCATCGATTTGATTTCCTAGCCGTAATAAAAGTCTGTGTGGCAAGTTAAAGTCAATCAAGTCAATAAACAATTACGGGCAATGGAAAATTTTTTAGAGGGCTCGGCCTAGGCACAGTGGAAAAAATAAAGTGTCCCAGCTCATTTTTTTACTCAGCTCATACATAATCAATCATTCGGCCGTCCGGAGGCAGTTTTCATTTAAATAAATACCAGTATAGCAAATTGATTAATTTAGGTAGATCGATATGAAGCACCCACGGTACAGTTAGTGGAAAAATATGCGCACCAAAACGAACTGCGTCATTGCAAATCTGCGAAGTTCTCGGCTCAACAATGTAACATAGTATTCTTCGAGCTCAATTGCGATCGTTTAGCAGGGCTGCCAAAGGGTGGGGTGTGTCTAGGGATCGAGAAATCAAGTCAGGCGAATCGGTATTTGACTCCGTTTAAAGGCCCAATGCATATGCATTAGGCAAATCGACGGTTGAGCTCGGAACGAGCTAATTGCACAATATGTATTTGCTGTCAAATCGCAGACAAACGAAACGTGACAATGACGTGCCCACCTCAGCCGATTAAAGCCAAGCTCACCTGACTTTGCGAGCTGGAAGCTGATCGTCTGGCTACCAGGAGTTCCTAAGTCAAGTGATCGCAGAGCATTTAATATTTGCACAAGAATGTAGTGATCGTTCGGAGCTTTAAGACAACTTATTGCAACAGAAGAGTTTTTATTACCGGGCGATCTAAATAATCTTTAATATAAAGGAAAGATTATACATTTTTTTTAAGAACAGCTTGTTTAACACCTAGATTAAACTTGTTCATTCATTCTTTTTATTTTTTTTAACTTTGGCCACTTTGAAAAAATTGTTGGGCTTCCAGTTGGTGAAAAAAATTAGCTAGTTTCTGTATAAAAAATTTTTAACTGTGGCATGATAATCAATTATAAAATTATGTTAAGAGATTTTTAACTGACTTAAAAAGTGTCTAAAAGTAGGCTAAGGTATCGTATCTTTGCATTGCATTTTATTTCTAGGTGTAAAATATACTTTCGAATACCTTTTTAAGGAGCTTAAGCCTTTAGAGATTTCGGTAAATGACCGAATAACACATATACCCCATTATCTTTTATGTATGGCGGTGGAACGGCCGTCAAACCTGTCTGACATACCTGACAATATCGTTACTGCTTCGAGTTCAGGTCGGCCGATACGAGTCGACAGCCACCGACTGATTAAAAATTCCAGTTTACTGCACCTGACCACACAATCGCCGACTATATAGATAGGTGAATCGGACTGGATCAGAATCGGAATCTAGTCGACTGCATATGCAAATGCATTATGTCTGGCCGTTATGCAAGTATAAGTTCAAGGTTGGCGACTGCATTAGCGGCGAATCTGTCTGGGATCTGGGATCGGGCCTAAATATAGCCTTTAAATCGCCGCATACCTATATAGCGAGTGCTCGAGAATTTTCGCACTTGCGACAAGCGTTTTCAACACCTCGATGGCTATTTTATCGGGGCCTCAATATCTACGTCTTGATCGATTCACCGACAAATTGGTCACATGTATGGCGTTATTACTAATATTTTTTTTTATTTAATTGTGATTCGTTTTGCATGTCACGTTGCATAAGCAGCTGTCTCTTTCACTCAGCTTGTGCCATCTCATTTTTCCCCCCGAACAACTCGTTTTGCATTTGTTGTAACGGTCTCGCTTACGTGACGTCATGCACGGGGGCTTGTCGCCCAGCAGCCAGCAAACAAAACAACAAAAACAACAAAAACTACGATAACGAAAAAAAAAAAAAACACAAATGAAAATCAACCAACGAACGTGCCCCCAAACTTGCTCTTCGTTCTCTGCTCTTTGGATTTTCCGCTCTTGACTTTCAGCGAAACATTTTCTCTTAAGTGCATCCTCATCAAAAGAGTCGGTTTGTGGTATTTTTCCCATACCCTATTCTTGTTATAATTATCAGTAAATCAAGTACAATTTTTCCTTTCTTTCTAATCTATTTTTTGTATCTTTCTATCATATTATCTTAATTTGTCAACATTTATAAAAAATCAGATATTGCTGGATTACAATTTCTTCAATCATTTCTTTGTTTTAAGGTAATTAGATGACTATATGTACCTTTTTATATGAATAATATTGATTGGAGTAATTTTCAATATATCAATAAGACAGTCAAATGAATAAATACTGGAAATATCCACATGCCCCTTGGAAACTTTGTTGCGAGGGTGATGTTTTCACCCATATCTTCAGCTAGATCACATTGCCATATCGTTTCGTGGAAAGTCGCACATGTGACCGAATTGAAGGTGCGAATGTTAGTAGATAAATGTTAATTTTTGCAGAGCGTTCGGGCGGTAAGTAAAATAATTCAGGCATTTAGAATAAATTAACGAGCTGAGGGCAACGGAATAATGACTTCCAAGAGCAATACAAAAGTGAAGACAAATATTTTTTTATAGTTCTAAGATCAAGCAATTAGTGAGTGGTCTTTGATTGGGTTAACAAATAGATACTTTGATTTAATCACAATCACACGCTGACAAATAATTTATTTTTAATTTAGCGAGTAACTCAGGTCACTTCCTTAAAATTTTCAAGCTTCTGATAGAATTCTAAAGTTTTTATGCATTATTACTTATTATTTTACTTTTCAGATTTCTGTTGAGCTAAGTACAAGATTTTCAAGGTCATCCAAGTAGAGAATTGTGAAACCACAGAGCCCGAGATATAAAGAAAAAAATCTTTAGAACCTTTCTGCATTGCATATTGTAGACAAAAATTGCACAAAAGACGCAGCGTAGCATTTTCTGGCTTGTTCCACTTACGAGTGGGCAATATCTGGCACATTGAGATACTACAAATGTACATATATACATACAGATATCATTCGTACATGACCGATCACATGTGCAGAGATCGGAAACCGAGGCGAATACAGTGCAAACTTGAAATTTATGGCGATCACCGAAGAACCAAATCGATGGATGGATGGGGGTTTCTCAGTGCGGTAAAATTAAGAGAAGTATTTCGATGTGAGGCAGAGACACTTTCTCACTCGCTCACACATTGAAAGATCACTTGCAGTCGGTGAATGGAAAATTTTGATTTTCGTTTTTGTTTCAGAGGAATTTTTTCGAAATCTCTGCACTCCTGCATTTGGTCTTGCCACTCTGGGTGAATGCGCCTGGTAATTTTCCATGAAATTTTCCATTTGCCTTAAAATTGGTACTCGCACTCCACGAACATAATTGTATGTGTTCGACAGATCTGTTGGATTGTCTCCCGTTATCAGTATAAGCCAAATATAATTATATAATAATTATAATTATAACAATTATAAGCCACATAAACATAATAGTACCGGATCTTGCTGACCTTACTTCAGGTTTTTGGCACGCTTTACATAAGCCATGCGACTCGGACAGGTGCAAAAAGGTGTCATACAAAAGGAACAACCGATTCAAAACAGTCGAGGGACTGAAATCTAATCCTGTACAGCTGCAGTTCCGCGAAATTAGGAGTGCAGTTCCTAAAGCTATTTTGCCATTTTTTTCAAGTTTCATTTGTGTTTGACTCTTAAAACATTTTATAGTTTTCAAGAATATATGAAAATATTATTTTTGAAATTTAATATTTTTGAAATAGACCATAAAATAAACTTAGTTATCATTTAAACAATTTTAAAGGAATTTTAATCTTTCCGAAATCCAAATAAATGTTATAAAATAAACTCCTCAAAAAGATATATTCTTTAATATCATTATTAAAAGAGTTTTTTTAAAATGCATTTGGATATTTATCAGGTTTTTCCCCTGTCAAAAAGCCCGTAGACTCTTAAACTCCGACCTATGGCAAAAATCTGGTTTAAACAGCCTTAACCCACTAATAGCCACGTGACATTCAGTCGTGGGTGTGGGTTTTTGATAAATATTGACATATCCCATCATCCCGGGTTCAGTCCGGGGTCTGGTCGCTACGATCTGATCACCACAACACCCGCTGACGGGCTGTACAATATTTGTTTTGTCTCGATCTCGTTGCTAGCTGGAAGAACCTAATGTCAGCCGTAATGGCCGTGTAATTACTCAGTTTACGTTAACTGTAACTGAATTACGGGATCGCCTTTTGTAACCGTAATAATCCCGACCGCACGCCAACGTAATTTTATCACGGCTTATTAAAGTGCAGTCTCTCGTATTTTATATAGGGATTTTCAGATGCTTGCACGCAGTCAAAATATTTAAACAAAATAAAGAAACGTTACAAAATAAATAGTAAATAAATTAAGTTGCACACTCTTGATTTGGTGAAAATACTAAATCCAAATAAAAAAGTTGTTACAATTAAGATCAAATAGAGAGAATATATATAAGAACACTGAAAAAATAGTTATATGTTAATTGAATACAAATTTAATACTCAATGTATTCAAAAATATTTTTAAGCAATAAATTGCTAAAAATAAGTTTAAAATTAGTAAAAATTTTAAATAAGTAACATAAACAGTAATTATATACATAAGTAAGAATGACAAAAAGGTCAAACATAAATGTCAAACAAAATATTCCAATGCAGTACAAATAATTAAATGACGTCTTTAAGGATTAATCTGAATATTTTATCCAAAAAAGAAAAATAAAAAATAATAATAAAAAAGAGAAAAAAAGTTACATGCCCCGGGTGAGGCTCGAACTCACGACCTTAAGATTATGAGACTTACGCGCTGCCAACTGCGCCACCGAGGCCATGTTATTCGCGGCGTCAGGGTGCAAGTTGAAACTGGCCACGTGGCGGGTTCTCGAGGGGATTCTGATTTGGTTCCAGACTTTGGTCTTGTTTTTACTTTTATTTTGAAAACAAAACGATATCGAAATTATTTACGACGCTTTGAACATTTTTGCACGTAAGTCAAGGCCACTATTTACTACTTAGCACATAATGTGCCCTTATTATTGTTTAATTTGCACACTAAAAGGTTCTATTGACATTTTTGTGCTTAAATTATTGACTTTTATGAGCAATAAATATGCTTTGGAATGTTTTGTGCTTAA